GTCCATCTAAAGTGCCTCCCTGCTACTAGTTCTCCGTCTTTATCTTTCTCCTGAGGTAGAAACGATATATGACACTACAAAAAAAAAAACTATTATAAACAATTTTATAATATACAAAAAGAACTTTTTTAAAAAATAAAAGTAACTATTTATTAAATATTAAATTCTTAATATAGTTAATAATAATAAAAAAATTAAATAGAATCAATATATATATACAGTATATATTATTTTATACTAGCAAATACCTGTGCCGTTGAGCACGGAATAATCTTGATCAATCTTAGTACTAACATAGAGTCAATTCATCAATTTCACATGATACGGATCTATGACACAAATGATAATAATTGGCATGAAATTGATTTTTTTTATAACAATTCGTACCTTAGATAATAATCTAAATAAAAAAAATAATCAGCGAAAAAATTATAAGATATATCTATAATAATACATATCGATATATTTACACAGATTAAGCCTCCAAAAGTATTTCAGAATATACAATATTTGTTGTCGTTGTATCAATATTGTCTTGAGGAAAAAGTACTTTTATTAAATGGGCAGAGGTACTATGTGAAAGAGCAACGTAAAGTTGTCCATGGAAAAACACAAGTGTTCGAAGATCTAAACTGACATGTTTTACTGATTGTCCTTGTGACTTATTAATAGTCATTGCAAAAGCAACACAGACAGGAAACTGTCTTCTTTTGAAAGTAAATGGAAACTCAAAAATCGAAGGATTTAAAGTAATATGGAGAATAAATGCCAACTCTCCAGCATAATCACCACATAGTATTCACATTTCAATAACATGATCAGTCATATTCGTTATTACTAAGCAAGAACCATTGCAAAGACCCTGTCTAGGAGCAATATTCCTAAGAAGAATTATTGGGCAACCTATCTTAAGGTTAATTTTGCAAGTGGCATCCCATTTGGATTAAGTGAGTTAAGAAATTCAATAGGATAAACATTATTATTATCAGCACCCTCTTCTATTATAGCATTATCAGCACTAAAATATGTGTACTGGTCTCCTGGAAATATCTCAAAAATTATTTGATTAATAACCTCTACATCTTCATTTCGAGGAGAAAGAATAGTTTGTTCACTAAGATATTTATCATTACATGTTCCTATTACACGAATATTAGGATATATAGCATTGATAAGTAATTCTAAATTCTGAGGTAACACTTTCATATGTTTTGGAAGAAATAGTATATCATTTGTAGTGTTTATGCCATTATCAATCTAAAACAATTATTAAATTATTAAATGAAAATATTTATATAGTAGTATAATAAAAAATATATTTACTTGTAAAAGCCAGTGTGCAAAATATTTGTTTTTTTCTAACTTTGCATCAAGACGCATATTTTTTCTTAACATAAGTACTTTTACATGCTGCTATAAGTATGACTGCTTAAATGAAGTAGAAACAATTTCTTCTCTTGATCCTTTAATAATAACAGACAATGTTTGTCAAAAGTCTTCTTCAAATACTACTGTAACTCCATCAAATGGACATTCATTATTACGAATATCTCGTAGGGAACGGTCAATAGCCTCAATGCAATAATGGTGCTGCATTGATACTTCATCCCAGATGATAAGTGATGTTTGGCATATTAGATCAGCTTCCATTAAGATTTTGTCAATTGCGCAAAATAAAGTCTCATTTATATTCAGTGGAATCTTAAATCTCGAATGGGCAATACAACCTAAATTAAACAAAAGGGCAACAATTTCCGAAGATGCCACACAGAGAACAATTTTTTCTTGACTCCGAATTTTCATTGCAAGAGTATTGTATAAAAAGGTTTTGCCAGTTCCTGCAGAACTATTAAGAAAAAATAATTTATCAAGTTGTTTAGTTACGGAGTTAATAATATTATGGTATGCTGCTGCTTGCTTATTATTTAGTTGTAAAATGCAATTATTAATAATATCTTGAAGTTCTTGATAATTATATGCTAATTGTTCTGTAATAATATGGTTTCCATTATAATCTCCCCAATTGTGTGTCCAAAGAGACATTGATGGAAACATGCTAAGAGACCGATTAGATTGATGAAGAAGCTTGTCTAGAAGAAAGAGTTTAAAATCAAATATTTGTTCATCAGTAAGATTATTAATGGCATGCTCTTTGCGTAATTGATATTGAAGATCATCACAAATATTAACATGAAAATGTAGCCATAACTCTTTTGGATAGGCAGGAGTGCATTGAGTAAGTATAACAATAAAAAGTGCTCTTAATTGAGAACTATTATGCAAAATAGCAGCTTCTTCAAGACACTGATTCCACTCTTCATCATCTTCTAGTAGTCCCAGGGCTAAGCATGCGGATTTAAATGTTGAATGAATAAAATTGTTAACAGTTTTTAGATGATCAAAGGATTGTAGGCCACGTATAATAGTAAGGAGAAGTCAAAGATAAAAATGTTCTCCTGCAGAAGAATCAGCAAAATATAATCTCTCAATTGCGAACTCTCATTTTCGAGGTGTCTATTTTTTAATTGATTTATTCCAAACAAAATATTATGGAAATTCCTGGTAAGTATATTGCCAAGCAAATTCTAGAATTGCGTATGTTTCAAAAAAAGCAGTAAGTGTTGTTTTTTGATGTTCAGTATGGGCAAAAACAATGGATGTATCATCAGTGGGATCGAAGACAACTAAATACATTCCAGGAAGATGTAATGCCAGGCTTACAACATTTGATACTTCTTCATGCATATTCATTCCAAAGAGACACTATGCAGCTTCAGATGCACCAATATATCTTGCATTAATATATTGTTTAATCTCATCTAGTTCATATCCAAATTGCATTGTTACCCAGTCATGACCTTTGTAGATATACTTATGAATATATTTGACTGCATGTACTGAGGTACAGACTTCAATATTAATATGGCAGTTATACTTCCGACTAAGGCTAGGATTATATGGTACAACATCTCAATTATCAATAGTTTTTCCATGAATTTAAAATGTTCGACCATCATTTTTTCTAGCATAAAGAGGATATCCATCTGTATCCATTGAAATTTTATCACGAAATTTTTTTGAATAACCTTTTTCGCACTTGCCGTTTATTATGCATAAGGCTCGTGAGTTGCACAGGCCACAAGGTCTATGGATCATACATCGAAAAACAGTGTCAAAAAGGTTTGAATCAGTTTGTCAGTTAGGAAGTTCAGCACACACTACACGATCAACATCTGCAGGCTCCCTTATTTTATTATTGTTGTAAAGGAATATTAGAAAATACATATATGGGAAGCCATATTTTTGAAATTCAATTGTATATATATATGTGACAACTTTTTCAAGAAAACTATTCTTTTTAATATCATTTAAAAGTGCACAGCGTTTCAAATTAAATACACGTGCTACCAAGTCTTGCTGATTCATAGCAGTCTGACCTGGCAGTAGCTCATTAGTTATCTCGGTCCAGTTTGGATTTGCAGTCATTGTTCCAAAGATATCAGGATGATGATAAAACCGTGTAATTACCATTGAATCCTGGAATATTTCAAACATTTGACGGGCACTTCCAATATAAGTAGAAGGAAGAATAATCTGATGACCAAGGTTATTAAGGAATAGTTCTTGATTTGCTATATTCCCAACTATATCTGCAAGACCTTGATAGACATCTGCATGCAGTGTAGATTGGTTTGTACATAGAAATCTTAATCTATTCTGCTCAGTTGCAGCCCAAGCATCAACTATAAATTGTTGAAATAATTTTTCACTATGGAGAATTGTAAAAAATTCGTTATGTCATGAAAAGAGCCAAAAAAAATAAAAGTTCATTTGGATAAGGCGCGAAGCATCATTTTGATTATCAAGTGATTGTCCTTCTGCATTAGTTAAAGTATGATACAATTTAGCACTCCATTCTAGTTCACCATAAGGAAAGAGTAAAATGTAGTGAAGAGATAAATATGCTAAATGCCCTTTATGAATCCGTTAAAGTGGACCTTCACGAAGTCGAAGAATAATATCATGTGTCACTTTGGGTATTAATTCATCACCAGGTAAGATAACAGTTATTTCATTTGTTAACGGAAGGTTATAGTGACCCCAATCAATTGACTTGCTGAAATGGAGGCAAACTGTTAGGTCTTTTGACTCCTTACATTCTTTTTCGGTTTGCAAAAGTATTTCATGTGCCTGTTTATATATAGGATAAAATGCATGGTGTTCACGTAAGAGTTCTTGTATTTTCCATATTGTACATGCCATTAAAGTCTTATTCTGTTCCATCCTTAAATTATAAGCTGTGTCAGGATCATGGATATATTGTTAAAGTGAAAAATGAACTATCTAAATAATGAGAAGAATAAAAGTAAAATGAAGTAGAATATAAAAAGTAATATGATAGATATGTAAAAGATATCTAGTATTTCTAGTATATTCTAGTATCTTTAAATATCTAGCAGGTATAACAAGTAATTATCAAGTACAATATAGACAACAAGTATAAAGTTGGATAATAAGTCCAAAGCTGACTAAATTATATCAGACATAAAAAGTATAAAAATAAGATGACAATATAAAAATATGGGAATCAAGGAGAATAGGCACTGCGCACTAAAAAGGCTATCTATTTTGAGAGTGTCACTAAACAAAGGAGTGACCATCCAGAAGGTTGACAGTTACGACGCACGATTGATAGATCGACCTGCATCATTGTTAAACTCGAGTCAAATATACACGTCTCTTTTAAGGAAAGACCATTCTCCAACGTAGTACAGTGTAGACAGAACAGAAGTGACAGACTCGCCGTATTTCACTGTAACAATATAATTGTGTATAGGTTGCCTCAGAATTTGATTCAGGAATAAGAATACCTATACGGTGGCATAATTTACTATTAATACGAAAACTATATGGCTTATAGCCACTGAGATCTGATTTATCAATGTTTATGCCAAGAGAAGTAAATGCATATGCTGAATTGTATTGGTGAATATTACGTCAGAATTCTTTAGAATATTCATCTTGACCTTCAAAGAGCTGACACAAAAGAGGTGGTGAATCGCGAAGAAAAGAAAGAACAACTTTGCCATGTAAGCAACACATACCAAATTTTGGGTGACTGCGAGAGGAGGAAATAATTTTTTCATTAAACCAATGAAGCACACCATAGTGAATGCATTATATATTCATATAATCAAGGCTATATCACTCATGGCTACGATCTAATAGCATAGAAGCAAAACAACTTTGTTATAAAGCAGAATGACTTTATTATATAAGCAAATACATATCAAATTTTAAATAACAATTGGAGAAGAAATTAGTTTATTAATTTGATTTATTAATCAAGATACCATTCATATCATCAATATTATATTGTTCTCTTGGATCAAAAGAAGTAAGAACATTTGTAGAAGAGATAGGATAAGGTAAAGTCTGTAATATTTTATTATTTTAGTATATTCTTGAGTTCTTTTTCATTGTGCTATCACTCTGGGAGTTGATTGCATTTCTAGTGAATATTCACGTGCTTTTCTCTCTCGAGCCCTTTTTTGCTGTTGGACAATTTCTTTGGGCTTAGAGTTTTATCCATGTTGAGATGGATTACAATAGAATACGGTATTACAGGTAGATAGAACTTATTATAAGAGTAGTCACAGCAATCGTATAAAAAAATTAATAACTTTATTTTTTTTTGATGTTAAAGTGAGGTATTACTCATGATCTTTATTAATAAAGCAAAAGTTTAACTTGTTACATAATTAATATTAAGATATGAGTTATATCACTATAGATATTAACCTACCACCTATTAAACAAATATATCATTTGAAAAACCCTTGAGCAGAGAAAACCTAAAGAACTATTTGTTGTAAAAAATAAAAAATAAAAAAAACATTTGAGGTAAGATCACCAGTATTGTAAAATATTTAAGTAGAAAGAAAAAAAAAAAGAAAATATTGAGGCTTTTGTTAAATGTGATTCCTGAATGCAATTGGTTGTTTCAGTCAGATGTTGGCACTGCGCAAGCCACATATAACTCGATGGGTTTGGTCATGTGAAATTTTGTGATATTGTTGTTATGTGATGTTGTTGTATTGTGATGTAGATAATAGAGTGACTGGAACACGTTCCAGATGTCTATTATATTGTTTTGGTGAATTGTTATATATTGTGATTACCAGAACCCGTGCAGGGCACTGATCACGCACTCTCCCAATCCGGTAAGTTGTTATGTTGTTTTGGTATATAGAGGTAGTATGGAATATGATTGATGTTTTGTGTGTTGTAGATTGTTTGATGGGAGTAAGCTAGTTGCGGTTTTTGTGTTGAAATTTATGAGTGAGAACTGATAACTAGCCAAAAGATTATGTGAAATCTTGCACTAGTTATCATTAGCAGAAAACAAAAAAACTCTAAAAAAATAAAATGCTGCCTCTTGAGAGTGTGATTGTTTTTGAGTTAGAAATGAGAGATGTGTTTGTTTTGTAGTGGTTGTGTATAGAAATGGCCTTCACATAGAAAATTTTCTTTTTATTCATCTTCTCTGTTCCAAGTTATTGCCCAGTGCCATTACCAGTCACTAGACCTCTTAGTGCGAGCTCCATTGCTGAAAACTTCAGGGGCCAATTTTATCCTTGAAACCCTCACTGCTTTAAATCAGTCCTCCGGTTTATGTCTTCTTCCCAAAAGACATATTCCACTAGACAAAGTTTCTTAAAAGAAAGAAGCTTCCTAAAAAGGCAATTTTCTACGGATAGAGGTGTTGTGGGAAAGAGTTTTTTTAATTTTTTGTAAATTAATAACTTTCTTTTATATAATTAATATATAATTAGCTAATAAAAATCTTTATTTGTTATCATATTAAGTGAAAATAATTAAATACATAATCAAGTACATTATTAGAAAAACATGCCTCTTCTATAAAATATTCATTGAAGTTAAATCTTCTATATAACGTCAAATATATGATGATAATAAATTAAAGTTTAATAAGTCAAGTCATAGTAAGGAAAGTTTAATTACATTATTGATTAGTCTAATAATAAGCTAAAAATCTAATTATGTTCTGAAACTGTGTAACTTTGTAATCAGAGATCACATGAAAAATAAAATTTAGTTAACTACCATAGATATTTTAATGGTGCATATCTTTCTGCCAATTACTATGTACATAAAAAAAATATATATTATTCTTATTCGTGTATATTGATTGGAAGACCGATAAATATTCTACAGGGGGAGTACTATATACCATGATGTAGCAGAGATTTATTACTAAAAATAAGTAACAGGATGGCTGTTTTCCTTATCTCGCTTATATGACAGTGCACATTACCTATGCATTGCCTATGTGTCACATATGCATTACCTGTGCATCACTGGTACAGCATACCATGCAGGCGAATTTGTGTAAAATTTCTGAATCATAAAATTAATCATGTGGCATACTTATTATCAAGTAGTTGAAAAATTCGCGAAAATTGTTACAAACTATATAATGTATATTATAATTATATTATAAATAAATATTAAAAATAAAAATAATTTTATTAATTAAAAAATATTTACAAAAAATAAAAAATATATATTAGTCTTATTATAAACACATAATATAAACAATTCACTTGCAACGTACCAATATTATAGCATTTTTTTTATTTATTTTTCATACTAATTCGCATCCAGATACTTAAACAAACTGTATATAAGTATGCCATGTGACCACCCTCCTATATGCCGGATGATATAATCTGAAAATTGTATATTGTTACAGTACAGAAATTTCACTCAACTGTATGTATTCTGTACCACTGCTACACTACTGCTGCACCACTGCTGTATCACAGCTATACAATCGTTGTACAATTGATGTATAGAGAACACCCCCATGTTATTTAAAAATAGTAATAAATTTCTGCTCCGCTTACCTATTTCTATATATAAGTAAGTTTATTAACCAATAGGAATGTGTTTTTATCTAGCCAATCAGAACGCAATCACGAATTATTGTATATTATATATAGATTATATAATTATTGAATTTTAAATCCAATTATTTTAAAAATTTAATAATAAAATTAAACTAATATAAAAATTTTAAATATTTTTTTTAAAAAATTAACAATTAAATATTATATAATATAATTATATAATAAAATTATTTGAATCTTTTGTTAAAACAACTAATTTAATAAATAAATTTTTTTATTTTATATTTTGAAGAATATTTATATTTATATTATTTTTTTTGCTATCATAATTAATTTACGTAATTTAATTTTTATATATTTTGAAATTTATTTTTTAAAATATTAAGTGAGGCATTTCTTGTGATTTTTATTAATTGAATAAAATATTATATAATTAATATTTAGATTGTGAGATATATTACTATATATGTTACCCTACTACCAAATAGATATATTTTAGAAAAAAATCTTTTTGAGAAAGGAAAATAAAAGAAACTATCTATATTTGGAGAGCTAATACCTCCTTAATAATTTATTCTATCATGGAAAGACATTGATAGATTTTCAAAAAAAAGATTAAATAACGATATTAGTGTAGTTATTTGATTGTGGATTGAGAGATTTATTTGCCAGTAGTGTTTTTTCTTTTGTTTTGTTGTTTTTTGTATGTGGTTGTTTGTTTTTCCTGTATTTGTCTACTCAAGTAATGTTATATATTTCTTTTTTTTTGTTTATGTTTTTGTTTCGAGGAATCCATATTTTCTGATATATTAAGTTAAGAAGATTATTTTGAAGTTCGTTCAAAATTTTTTGATTTTTTGGAGATGGTTTAAGGTTTGTGAAAAAGGAGTTAGTATTTGTGAGGCCAAAAGCTAGGTTTATATAGGTGAGTAGTGAGTTGATAAGCTGTTGGAAAATTTTTGAATTGAAGTTTTTGTTGTTTTTGAAGGAAAGAGTAGCTTGTACTTTGGTGTTTTTTATTATTTGAGTTATAGTTGGGTTGCTCTCTTTACAGAGTCAGATATGGTATGTAGTATTGTGATGAAATCACGGTGAGTCAGTCACTTCGATCTGTCTCACGCCGTGTAACGATCAGGCGGTTTCTGCTTAAAAGAGGTGTGTGAATTTGGCCAAAGTTCGTAACGCTGACGCAGATCAGTCTATCGATCTTGCGTCCTCAATTATTACTTCACGCGTAGCAATTTCATTAGCTACATAACACTAGGGTCAATCACAAGGCAATAGTTTATCAAATAAAGATGGTTTTTATTTAATAGTTGCACAGTACCTATTCTGGTTTTTTCCACTTTTTGACCATTCTCAGGTCACTTATATACATTTTTACTTTATACCTCTTATACCTATTATACCTGATATATTACTTATACCTGATATACCATTTATACCTGATATACTTACCCTTATAATTTCCTATCATCTACCTATCATTTTTCCCTACAATAGTAGTTTCTTGAGTGGTATTATATCAGAGACAAAGATTGTTAGTATAGAGATAGAGTAAGGTAAAATATAAGTGAGATTTGGTTGGTAATGTGTTGGAAAGAATTTTAAGGTAGAAGTTATATAAATTAGATTGGGATTGGGTAGTTGGTAAAAGATTTTTTTTGAAAAAGATAAGTGTGTATTATAGAAAAGAGAAATCAGGTTTGAAGGTAGTTTTTGCTCTTTCAGAATAGATTATGTTGGTTAACCTAATTGTTTTATTTATTTTTTTGATAAGATCTTATGTTGGATATTCTGAAATTTATAAAATTTATAATAATTATATATCAATAAATTTACAATATAATAATTTTAAAATAATAAAATTTTTATTTATTTTTGTTTATATTCTTATTATTTATATATATTTTTTTTTTAATATTAAAGTGAGATATTACTTATGATCTTTATTAATAAAGCAAAAGTTTAACTTGTTACATAATTAATGTTAAGATATGAGTTTTATCACTATAGATATTAACCTACCACCTATTAAACAAATATATCATTTGAAAAACCCTTGAGCAAGGAAAACCTGAGGAACTATTTGTTATAAAAAATAAAAAATAAAAAAAACATTTGAAGCAATATCACCGGTATTATAAAATATTTGAGTAGAAAGAAAAAGAAAAAAAAAATATTAAAGCTTTTGTTAAATATGGTTCCTGAATGCAATTAATTGTTTTAGTTGA